AGAAAGAACTAAGTGTCTCCTTACCAGATACAATTTGCTCCTCTTCCTTAGATACAGCCTATATATACTCTTAAAATTAACTTCTACGTTTTTTGGTTCAAAAATATCCTTCAATATATTGAATATTAAAATACTTTGCTCTATTCTGTTTCAATAAGTCAAATTTAAGTGTTCTCCTTTAATTACAACACTTAGTTCTTTCTGGTTCTCTATCAACTCCAACCTTCAAAGTCTCATCCTACATTTTTTAAAAAGAGAATTCAAAACAAAAGCATTTTCTCATGGGACAGAGTCTTATAATTAAAATCTTATTTCAAATCCACTTGGACCCTTAGTTCATTTACACTTACCAGAATCAAAGTTTTAATCAACTTTTTGCTGTTTATTCCAAAATTATTTTAAGTCCTTAAACTTCTAGTTAAAATTTCTTTTACAAAGGATTGAAGAAACTCCCCCAGTGCTGTAAAACATGTTGATCCAAAGGTTTTAAAAGCTAAAAAGCAGTTAACAAGCAATTCCTGAAAGCAATTAGGAAATGAAGGAGGCGAATAGAATCTTTTTAAACCAACCATGGCTTCAGCGAAGATAGCTTTCTTTCATTTCCTAGAGATGTAAACCTGCCACTATCTTGTGGATAAACCCTCAATGATATAATCAAGAGAGAACAAATTATGGAAGAAGAGTTATGCAATATGAAAAGCTGAGGACTCACCCTCCCACATTTTTATGGAGAACCAAAAATACAAGAAACCAGGCATACTACTCTGTCCAACTGGTCTGCTATCAATGACTCTACCACACAACACAGCCAAAGAACCTACCAAAATCTCTTGAAATCTCATAGAAGGGAAGGAACATGTTATTAATCCATCTTTACCGCGCCTTAAGAAAATCAAAGGCTTAGTGACTAAGGAAGTTATGCTTCCTAAATACATTTGATGTAATTTTTAAAGTGCCTTTTTATTGAAAGGGACCAACCACTTATGTGCAAATTTTCCTAATCAATGCAACAATAGATTTCTCATTGTATTTAGAATGCATCCTTCCCTTTCTCCACATGTTTTTTTATAGTGTATGCACAGAGATAAAACAAGTATTTACAATACATTCTGAAATTCTGCTGATCTCATGATAAGAAAACTTAATTGACTATTGTTCTTTCTGATCCCTGAGGTTAAAACAAATCCCAGAAACGTGTCCACAGAGCCTGTCTTTTTAGTAAATTCCCCAAGGCTGGGTCGCTGAAAATGAGTTACCTCATGGAGGTGATATAGTCAGTAATCTGCCAGCTTCCTGTTCAACTGCTGAGCTGAATATGAATGGTGTCAGCATCACCAGAAATTCACACAGCAGTCTGGGTGAATAAAAATGCAGCAAAATGTGACCAAGCTGAGGAAAAAGCAACTACTGGATCACTTGCTGAGGAAACATACTGTGGTTCTTTTCTTACAGGGGCAGTTAAAAGACTATTTTAAAAACATTAAATAAATCCATGTCAGTGGTTTAAATTATGCTGAAGAGGTTTTGCATCAATATGTATGCAGGTCAGTGGTGGGATATGACCGGTACGACCTGGTACAGACATTCCGATGGCTGCTGGGAGCACCAGGTACCATTCGGGTATTGTGTCCAGAGGGCCCGTCCACCCAATCTCTTTACTGCTATTTGAGCTGATTGGGGCATTTGCGCACGCGCATGGAGCGTACAACGCCTGCGTGACGCTCTACCAAATAGCTGGAGCATCATAGACAATGGGTATGCATGCACATGCTGCGCACATCTACGTGGTAGGCGCCTGGCCCCGTACCTCTTGCAACGGGATCCTGAACCCACCACGGATGTAGGTGGTCTCAACATATAACCAGAACTGAGCCCAAAATTTTGTTGATAAAAGACAGTTGTTAAGTAAATTTCCCCCATTTTTTGACCTTTCTTGCCACAGCTGTTAAAAAGAATCACTGTACTTCCTAAGTTAGTAAAATGGTTGTTAAGTGAATCTAACTTTCCCTTTAGCTTTGCTTGTCAGAAGGTCGCAAAAGATCATCACATGACCCTGGGACACTGCAACCTGTAGGTATGAGTAAGCATTGTAAGTATGAGTCAGTTCCCAAGTATCTGAATTTTGATGATGTGACCATGGGGATTCTGCAAATGTGAAAAACAGTTTTAAGTCACTTTTTTCATTGCCACTGTAACTTGGAACAGTCACTAAATAAACTGTTGTAAGTTGAAGACTACCTGTACTAGCTGCTCTGGTATGTACACTATCACTATTTTTAAAAGATCTGTTTTCATATGAAATAGAATAGAATAACAGAGTTGGAAGGGACCTTGGAGGTCTTCTAGTCCAACCCCCTGCTTAGGCAGGAAACCCTACATCACTTCAGACAAATGGTTATCCAACATCTTCCTTAAAACTTCCAGTGTTGGAGCATTCACAACTTCTTGAGGCAACTTCTGTTCCACTGATTAATTGC